CGCCGGAGTCCCGCCCCGCCTCGCCTCGCCCCGCCCCTCCCCGGGGCTGGAGCTGGCTCCGCGTCCCGCCCGAGTGGGACGGATCCTTAGGTTGGCGTCCTCTACCTGGGCCGCCTCCGACCCATTGGGGGCGCGGAGGGAGGGGCTGTGAGCCTCTAGGCTAGCAAGCTTCGGGGGTTGCGGCGGCTCAGCGACAGGCGCACGTTCGGCCCGCGCTTCTGCCGCTTTGCTTGGGAGGGCTCGAACTGACGCCCCGGTGAGTACCTGCGCGACCCGGCCGCGCTGCGCAGCCTCGCGGAGGCCTGGAGGTGCTCCCGATGTGTGGCTGCGCTGGAGCCTGAACCAGGTTGCGTCTTGCAAGCCTTGTGGGGACTCGTACCACCCTAAGCGGGCTGATAGATGGCCTGCCAAGGAGTGTGTGTACGGCGCGGCGTGGTGCTTTTAATGATCCCCGTAATGATCCTTAAAATGGGAGACTCCCTCCAAGAGATGGTACGGGCTGTGGAGAGAAGTCACCAGGGTTGGGGTCGGGTCTTGATCCGTACGGGAGGAGGCAAGGTTTCCTTCCACCCGTATTAGGGTGGACTAACTCAACGACCCGCCTGCCCACTGTTAATTGAACGAACGGCCTGCTAACTGAGGACGGCTTTTACCATTTTAAATGGTTGAAAAGATACCAAAAGATTTTTGTGGCACGTGGAAATGCTAAGAAATTCCAATTTCGGGGTCCATAAAGTTTTGCTCGAGCACAGCCACGCTCGTTTGCTTATGGACTGCCTGTGGCCGCTTTTCTCTTCACAGCAGAGCTGAGCTGCTGCCCTCAAAGCCTAAAACGTTGACTATCTGGCATTTCACAGAAAAATGCCGACCCCCCGACCTAGCAGATTGATTCTCCAAGGCGAGGCGAGGGCGGGAGCAAACAAGAAATGCAGCGTGCATTCAGTTCGAAATAGCACCGTGTTATAGACCAACTGTATGTTTGAGGGAAGAAACGTTGAAAAAAAAACTTTGCATGAGAGTCTATCTAAAATGAAGCTTGAAAGTTTTTGTTAGGGGTCAGTGAAAGATAAAAGTGATTCCACGGGAAAGGGGCATGGGTTGAGGTATTCAGAAATTCTAACCGTGGGAGATTTCTGTTTACTAAAAGAGAGCAAAGTTTAAACAATAGTAGGAAAAGACTTCCCTGGTGTGTGGAAGAAGATAATCAAAATATCTGTTGAATAAAGCAAATGAGTGAGAAGTCCTGAAACATTTCACTGGTGTAAAAATACCAGACTGCTCTTTAAAGCACAACAATTCGTTAGCATATTGTCATCCATTTGTATTAGAGAAGTTGCTGTCTTCCTTATAATCTGCTGATTTCTGCACATACCACCTCTGACTATTTTAGTTTAGAGTCCAAAATGTACCCTGCTTAATAGTGGAATCCATATAATAAGCACATACAAGTAATGAAAAAAGGACTCGACAACCTATCTTACTTAGGGTAAAAAAAGAAATTAAAATGTTCATTTTGGGGTTTGCCCTCGACGATCTTAGTTCTCCTCCCCCTATGCAAATGGAACGCTTGGCGCTTATTGGGAGAATAAAGTACATAAATATCCCACAAGATTGGCAGTGGTATATATTCCAAGTAATCAGACGCCCCGGATTGATGAGACTACAAAGTCCAAACGGTTGTCTCTCTGGAGACATCCAGTGATTGAGTTTGTAGTTGATCAAGCTTGTCTTTGCCTCATGGAGTCTGCTGCATATATTTGGAGTCTGGCAACTCTTGGTTGCAAGCTTTTTAAGTGTGATTTTAAAATAGTTCTCTAAGAGGGCAACAGGGGATGTAATAGCACAAAGTGGTATGGAGGTAGACAATTCCAGTCCCGAATTTGGAGTTCACCTGGTGCTGCCCTGTGCATCCAACGAGGTTTTTGAAATAAATGACTTCTGGGATTGCTAGGCCCACCCTTACCCCAGCACCTGTCTTGCTTCGGCTTCTCCCAGTTCCCCACCCCTCGCACCACATGGCTACCCGTTTAGGGCCAAGAGACTGTGCCCGACATTTACCCAAACACTGTCTTGGGTAATAGCTCTATTAGCTAACTAATATAGAACTGAGGGTTCCTGTTTCGGTAAAAACTTGCATTTGCCTGGGAATTCCTCCTGAACCCAAGCAATTTTATAAGTAGGTCCTGACTCTCTCTCACTCTTCGTTTTGGAATTGCTAATTTCCACCCAAATAACCCCCTCAAGCGTCTTTCCAGTGCCACAACCACACTCGTTATTTGCATGCTATGTAATTGAAACAGTATCCTCCCTGTGTGCACAGATGTGGCATGAAGCAGGGGGACCCTTAGTCCTTGCCATTCAGTGTGCTCAACTATTAATAATACATCAATAAAAATGGCATCCATTATACATGAGAGCTTCACAATTAAGCCAGCACGTGTGCAGCATCCTTTCTTTGCTCTTGGTAATAAAGTGCTTTTTAACAGGCTGGAAAGAAGAAAGAAATTAACTTGCTAGGACTCAGGTCAGGGATGGGAACTGGGAGGGCCTCTGGGGGTCTCCAGCTCAGGAGCTACTCACCCCAGCGGCCCAGCTTAGGTCCCTGATCACCCAACCAGAGCAGTCTGGAATAAAGAGCAGCGTTAGGTCAGGCAACCCTCAGGAACCACTGTTCTGAGGTTCCCTCCAGCTGAGCCTCACCTTTTCCCATAAAGAGGTGAAAATGGTTCATTAGAATATCCATAGGACTGCTTTACTGAACTTCTGGGGGCCCTGTGTGAAACTGCCCTCCACCCCCCTACCCCACCCCCCGATCCGGGGTCAGCAAACAGTGGCCTGTGGCTAAAACCTGGCCCTCAGCCTGAACATTTGCAGTCACTTTTCTGATTGAGAACACTAACCCTGAAATCCAGTAAGAGAAATATTACCCCAGTAAGAAAAGAATTCCATTCTTCTCAGTAGTAGACGGCTATTACAACAACAACAACAACAAAATTGTACTCAATTGTAATGTTTTGACTTTCCTCAAGAACACTGTGGAAATTTTGTTTTCTCTCTTGTTACATAAGTACCTACATAATAACTTTGAGTTTGCCTCTGGGCCCACAAAACCTCAAATATTTACTACCTGGCCCTTTTCGGAAAAAGTTTGTCTACGCTGGCCCAGGACTTAGGTTTTTGAGTGAGGAAATAGCACCCTTAAGGGAAATTAACTTCCTTTTGCCTCTGGCCGACCGGGATGTTTTCCCCATTTCAGGAGGAGAGAGAGGCAAGCTCTGTGGGGTTCCCTGGCATTGGAGAAATAAGTGGATCATCTCCAGGTGATCGTATCTTGAAACTCTTTTGAGTTTCAGAGTTGAGACTCTGTAGTGTGTGTTCTCTGAGACTTTGGCCTATTGAGCACATACCCGCTGTTGGATTTAGCCATGGAGTCTAGCAGAGAGAAGCTGGTACCTTGTAAAGCCCTTCTACTGAGCGTGGCTAATCCAGGAGTAGGAGATGCCCCAGAGATCATGGTCATCTTTCCCCCTCAGCTGGCTCTCCTAACTTAGGACTCTTTCTTTTAGTCTTTTTGTCTTGCTCTAGACATCTCAGTGATAAGCATTCGATTTGTTTTGTTCTGTTTTTTTAATTTTAGGAAATTTTAGGAAGACGTGATTTTCAAAGCTAATTATGAAAACATTTGTCATTGGAATCAGTGGGTGAGTAATTTTGCTACAACAAGCTGGTGGAGATACTGAGGATGGCCAAAGGGTGTTTTCCTGTGGTTGTGGTGGGGGATGGAGGGGTCAGGATTCCTGAGTCCTGAGGAAGAGAGCAGGCCACTGGCAAATATAAAGCAGGGGAGGGAGTGCTAGCTACATAAATGGCAACAGGAGATGGGAGAGTCTCCTCTAAACGGAGAAACAGGGCCGTCAGTAAGCAAATCCTGCCTGCCTGCCTTACCATTTCTTTCCCAGAGTTGACACCAGACACCTTTTATCCTTGTTATCCTGATGTCCTGATTGCCCCGGCATAATTATTAGCTGCGTGCCCCTCTCCCTCTCAAAAGTGTCCTAAATTATAGGGTCACCCTCCCCATGGTACCGGAGGTATGCATGCAAATAAGAAACCAACAACAGCTCCAAAGGATTGTTGTTTGTTTTGCTACTTTGTTGGGTTCATCTTTGTTCTGAGTACATTCACACTAGGTGTGGTCCAACGAATGAAATATTTGAGACTGTTAAAATTAAACGTTTGTAACTTGGGGGAGATCACTGTATTGTTGTATTATGTTACTATAGCAAGTAATTAGAGGTAAAAGGGAATGAATCCAGTGTCAGAACTCTGCCTCCTCTTGCTCCCATCTAACCAGAACCAAAGTTCTGTTTTTCTCTGCATTGCTTTTCTTGGACATGCTTTCCCTTCTGCACTCACTGCCACCCTCCTAAATCAGGCCCTCATTCCCTAATTCCATCCTCCCCCTCTTAACCTTTCCTAGGTACCTCTCCACCAGTTGAATCTTCTTGCAGAAATGTTTATTCTCTCACCTAGTGAACAATATGCAGTGGGTTACCAGTTATCTAGAACAAAAGCTGAATATCCAAGTATATGAAGACCATCCATAAATAGTAAAAGAAATGTACTAGCTTCAGGGCCATGTAGGCTGCAGGGAAGGTTTGATACAGGAGCTCAGTGGTATCACCAAACACTCCACTTCACTGTCTCTTCCTCAGTGAGGGCCAGGATTTCATTTTAGTGCTGCTTCTGGGAAGCACCTACCACACTCAGCCACAGTGACCTCTGTTCCTGCCTTTCTTCCTTCCTCCAGACTCAGTGTTGTATCTTCCTTGTATACTTACCCCTTGCTACACTATGAAGTGATCATTCACTTAAGAAGTCAAGGGATGGCAGGGGTTCCAAAGGATTCCAGGGTCATTCAAGATCCTCCTAAAAAATGGAATGCATGTGTGAAGATGTTCATTTTTCTGGGGAAGGGGCATATAATCTTTATCAGATTCTCACAGTATTCTGTTGATGTTAAAATATATAAGTTTCATGGGCTTTGAGGAAAAAAAAAAAAAAAAGATCCATGGGCTTTGGAGTTAGACTTTGTATCCCATCCTCATTACTTGCTAGTTGTTACCTTGGGCAAGTTTTATGAGTATATAGTCTTTCAATCCTTAGTTTCCTCAACTATAAAATAATATTAATATCTACCTGCTACAGAATGGATTTGCCTCTTAAGTGCCTGCAGACAGCCTTTTTAACTTCTCCTCAGCCCCCTGTCCTATTCCAAATACACTCACCCTTCCTGTCTCTTGGCACGTAAAAAAACAAACGGACCAGGACTTGTGCATTTGTTCCAGGTGTTGTGAACAAAGAAGGAAGTGGCCCCAAGTAGTTACTCATTTTCCTTCCCCATATCCTAAGATAAAGCGTGCACCGGTCTGGGCACCTTTGCCCTGAGGTTGGAGGGCACATGAGGGTGGTCATGAGCTTGGTGGTGCATGGTGGTTATGAGCATGCTGAAAGAGAAGAGTTAGTCTTAAGGTGTCACCTGACCAGGATTCCAAGTATAGATCGTAGGCTTGAACTTGGGCCACTCAGACTTGTTAAATTCTCGTTAAACCCCTCTCCCATCTCTCTGACCTGTACTACCTTCTGTCTGGTCTGTCTCCTCCAAGTCTGTGACACTGGAGTGCTTGCTTCTCATTGTCTCCAGCTAAGTCAGTGAGACAGGTGGGTTTGACTGTATCATCTGCAAGAGGTAAATCTAGAAAATGACACATTTTCTGGCCAGGTTGCTCAAAAAGTTAGCCCTGTTTACTCTCTCTTTTAAACCAAAGTTCAGTATCTGAACAGTGGAAACTCAGTATGGATTACAGACATTCTTGTTAAAAGGGAGAAATTTTATACCAGTATTTTCTCAAGACAAAGGGTAATACCCACCCACTTCCCTGTGTTTTCTTAAAAAAAAAAAAAAAAGAGATTTGTTTATTTGAGGGGGCAGGGAAGAGAGAGAGAGCTTGAGCAGGGGGAGGGGCAAAAGGAGAGGGAGAAGGAGGAAGCGGACTCCCCACTGAGTTGACATGCCTGCTGGATCCCAGGACCCTGAGATCAGGACTTGAGCCAAAATCAAGAGTCAGACGCTAAACTGACTGAGTCACCCAGGCACTTCTGTCTTTTCAAGGAGATCGCCCATATCCTATCCAATTGTGTATTCTAAGTTTAAATGAAGAAAACTTTACGGGGCGCCTGGGTGACTCAGTCAGTTAAGTGGCTACCTTCAGCTCAGGTCATGATCTCAGGGTCCTGGGATTGAAGGCTGCATCGGGCTCCCTGCTCAGCGGGAGCCTTCTTCGCCCTCTTCCTCTGCCCTTACCCCCGCCTTGTGCTCACTCTCTCTCTCTCTTAAATATATAAATAAAATCTTTAAAAAAATTAATGAAAAAAAGTTTTGAATCAAGTTCCTTTTACTTTGTAGGTATAAGGTATTTAGGTAATAACTGAATTACAGCCAGTAAACAATTTTGATGAATGAATATTAGTTTCTTTTCTAGATTATAAATACATTGCAATGTATCATCTGGGATTAAGTACAGGTTCCTGCATATAAATGTGCAGTTAGGAGTTTTTTTGTGCTGTGGACATTCAGTGGTATGATGAAGTCTTGATTTAGAGTAATGGTTTTATTTTATTTTTTTAAGATTTTATTTATTTCTTTGACAGAGAGAGAGTGACAGCAGGAACACAAGCAGGGGGAGTGGGAGAGGGAGAAGCAAGCTTCCCGCGGAGCAGGGAGCCCGATGCGGGGCTCGATCCCAGGACGCTGGGATCATGACCTGAGCCGAAGGCAGCTGCTTAACGACTGAGCCACCCAGGCGCCCTCTCTCTCTCTTTTTTTAAAGATTTTATTTATTTATTTGACAGAGAGAGACACAGCAAGAGAGGGA